GACCAGATTCGTCGGAATACAGAATCCTAAGTCCCTACACATTCTGAGCTGTTGCATAGATTAGCAGCTCAGCAAGCGGCTTCGGATCGTAACGGCTGTGCATGGAGAGCCAGACCCTATGTAGTTGGTATCATTGCAAACCAAAGCAACATGAATCTAACGCAAGCTCAGCAAGTACTCGATTTGGACACATTCCAAACTCAACTGGATCCGGAGGCTTACAGTAGAAGCCAGAAAGTTGGAGCATCACAGTCCTCCTGCCCTTAAGGTAAGGTATAAGGGATCCTAGCACAAATCATCCTAAACCCATGTTCCACTTTCAGGGTTTCGCTGTACTTCAAGCAACCCTAAAACCCTAAACCTGCCTGGAGCCTGCACCCCCTAGGCTATGCTCCGACAACTGCGTGGAGTGCACCGGCGTTCTCGTGCTCAGGGCCCAGTTTGTCGATTTTGAAGGTCTGCTTAGGGCTGATACGGCTGATGATATAGATCGTGCATTACCCAAATAAGGAATATACCATAATTTCCATAGTTTAGGGTCCTTAAGGCAATGTAGGATTAATATCAACGACAGTAGGTTGTAGGGTTTGTTTGACGGGTTAGAGTTGCAAGGGCTTTCATTGTTTCGGGGTTTTGTGTTTTCATCCTGGCCTTCAGAATCCTCCCCATCATGAACTCTCCATGGTTCGGCCAGGGCCCTGATGGCCATCAGGGTGGCGGTTTGTTACAGTTGGGGTCCAGGGATCCCCTTGTGCGGATCGATTGAATGGCTCGGATTCTATCTGCTTAGGGGTTATTTTGGCCTCGTATGTTCTGAAAATCTCAATCCTCAAGGGCTTGTGGGAAGCCTATTCCCGATTCTTGCTCGGGTGTACAGATACTGAGATACCTTCTGATCCTGCTTATGCAACCACAGAGACTACAAAAAGCATCTGAGAACAACTCCTCCTGGATCCCGTTACATACTCGTGCTTTGCATGGCTCCTGTGTGTTGCGCCACTTTCGGCAGTCCATGTAGCCTGATCCCGGCGTCCAGAAACATCCCTGAAGCCGAATACAGAAGCCTGAATAGAAACCTATACTATTTCGGGTTGTTCTTTTTTATTTAGACTATATGATGGGCCCCAAAGCCCTATTCTAATTGTTAAGGCCCCTATATTAACCCTGCAACGTCCGACCTCTAAGCGCCAAGCGAAGCCCTGTCCGTGCAGACCTTGAGGTGTGAAGTGTGCAAGAACAATTACTTCTTGGACCCGACGAGCAGTACCTGCAAGACGTCTTGTGGGGAGCTCAAAGCATTTAGGCGTAGGGCTTCGCGCTTCGTGTCTAGAGACTTGTCTGCCCTGTGCAAGTGCTATCTTGCTTCCGGGAGGGGCTTCGAGTATTTCGTGCGTCATGCGAAATGCAAGTACCCTAACCACCCTGGTACCTACTATATAGGGTACTAGAGCCCCTAGTGCCCTATGTAGTAGGTACCTGGGGGGGTTAGGGGTAGTTACCATTAGGGCAGCTTGTTGGCATTCTATCGAGGACATTAAGAAGCTCTCGTAACCCTCCCCTTATCGAAAGCCCGAACCCATCGACCCTGGGCTCTGGAATGCATCAAACTTCCATAGGCACTGAAACCCATCTTGGATGTCTAAAGCTCACAAACGCTGAGCCCCCAACACTGAAAGACTTTATATAAACATCCTAAAAAGCAACTTGTCCACAACTCCATGTAGAATGTTGTTTTCTTGCCGTTGCCCGTATAGTACCCAAAAAACCTCAACCCCCTAAACCCTAAACCAAACCCTAAACCCAAAAAACCTCAACCCCCCAAACGCCGAAGGTCCTGCCGGCTGGTATGAGAACATCCCGGATGAATCAGTAGACACCGGCCGTTTCTCGGTGCTAAAGAAGCTTCGGGTTCTGAGTTCAAGGTCCGGAGTTTACGGTTTGGGATTTAGGGTTTTAGGGTTTAGCGGTTTAGCGTTTAGGGTTTAAGGTTTAGGGTTTAGGGTTTAAGATTTTGGGGTATAAGGTCTTAGCATCAAAATAGCCCCAATATCCTTATATACTAGGGCCGAAGGCCCAAAAGCCTTACAGTATGAGTCCTTTGAGGGTAAGGGTAAGGGTTTACAGTAAGATTTTGGGGGTGTAAGGCTTTGTTGTTCAGAAATCTTAAACCCTAAACCCGAAACCGTTCAGAGTTTAGTTGTTTACAGTTTGGAGGCTTTGGCTTAGGATCTTGATGAGTGATGAGAGTGCATCTAGCAGTGGCAACATTGCACTTCCTGTAGGTCACTGTAGGTGCTACTCGTCCCATACAACGCTGAGGCTTAGATGGGAATTTAAGAGAAACGCCGACCCCAAGAAGTCGTGGGGTGTCTTTGTCCGCCTTGGGTTTCTTGGTGGCGACCCCTTATCTGGAACCCGGGCCCATCTCCCCTTATCTAGGACAATATCAGGTGGGTAGTTGCCATTGTAGGAGCCTTAAAGAAGGCCTATACACCTTATAGAAGCCCCATATACCCCAAACTCCCCTAAACCCTACACCCTAAAACTCTAAACCCTAAACTCCCCACCTGTAGTTTCCTTTAACCTTATCTGCATCTTGGAAGTGTTGTGCACGGGCTTACCGTCTAAGCCCGAAGCCCAACACAACACCAAAGCCCTGCACCCTTGGATTTTTTGGAGCCCACGGTTTTGGGCAAAGATTTCCGGTTTAGGGTTTAGGGCCAAGAATCTCCTAGACTGTCGACTTGTTTTCTGACAGGTCAAAACAATGCACACTACAATGCACCGCTGTCATCCCTCCCCCACCAACGGGGACCAAGCCCTCAATGTGAGCTTGAATGTCTGAAACTCTGAAGCCCGAAGCCCCACCGCTCACCCTAGCCCGAGAAGATTAGGATCGACACCTTGAGCCTGCAGTCCGGTTTAGGGTTTAGGGTTTAGGGTTTAGAGCTGAACCACTTAGTGGCTGAGTAGGTAACCTTTAACCTTTTGGGGTTGATACAGTCCTACCATAATTGAAAAGGTTAACCTTTTTGGGGCTAGGGTACTTGGCCCCTAAGACCAGATTGAACCACAAAGGCCTCAACCACAAACAGCTCTCCGCGCACTCAGTGTCGCCGCAGGCACCTGCATGCAGTGCCCGGCACCCTGCAACAAGTGCAACTCCGCCAACGAGTGTGCCTCGGCGTTCAAACTATGTCTGCTTACATATTTGTTTGTTGTTTTATGTCATGCTTTCTAGTTTTAAGACGAGAAGAAGGGCTTTGTCCATGGATGTGTTTTGATCGTGCAGGGTTCTTACAAAAGAAGGTGTTTATAAGGTTTTTGCATCTACTGCTCCAATACTAAACTGTAACCTTGATAGGTTTTGCGACTTACAGTATGCTAAATGACAATGTTCCCTGTCCATCTCGGGAAATAATTACAGGCTTGGAATAGGCCTTTAAGGCCTCTGTCAACGCTGCCTTTGAGTATCATGTTGGTTCGCATAGGGTTCAAGAGCTAATTTGGTCTCGCGGCTTAGCATACCCGTATCGCTCCACATCATTGTATAGCAAGATGTAGGCCCGATGTAGGCACACATTACAGAGGGCTTTGGTATGGAATGGACAGAACTCTGGCGTGTGAGCAACTCAATGTTGGAGGGCCGGTCTGAGGTTCCAGACTCATATCACTCATATCTGATTGGGCTTGGATCTAGTGTGCGACAAGCAGCTGCGACGATAGATCGAAGTAAAAGCCCCGTGCTGTCAGCTCCCTAAATCGTAAGCACTAATTTTCTACATAAAGATACAACATATAGGAGTTCCCCGCATCAATAGCGGTCGCATGGCTTCAGGAATCCTTCCTACAAAAGCACCCTCAACAATCCAATACATAGAGCCCAAGAAGGGGTATCCTAATTACCATTACATGTTGTAGGATAGGCGTTGCTTGTGAAAAGGTATCGACAGAGCGGTCTGGGTAAAGATCACTAGCCCGAAGGGTTCATGTACCCAAACAGAATATACTTCGACCCCAAAGTACCTATATAGGGACGACATGAAGGCCAAAGTATATACTACATGGGTGCTACATACAGCCAAGCCCAAAAAGTCGGAACCGGATTCAGGACAAATAGTGTTGGGATTGCCCATGCATTACTCTTAAGGATTGAGGCTATTGGGTTTCCAACTTTTGGGCCTTTACTGTAACCCTAAACCCTAGACTATAAACCCTAAACCCTAAACCCTAAACCTTAAACCCTAAACCCTAAACCTTAAACCCTAAACCCTAAACCCTAAACCCTATAGACCCTTAGGGCAAGAAGTCCCCAGGCACGGAGTGCAAGGACTCGGCCTTCCTTACGCCTTTCGGAACCTGCGCCCGGGCCCCAGAGTCGGTTTGGGGATTTAGGGGTTTAGGGGTTTAAGGGTTTAGGGGTTTAGGGGTTTAGGGGTTTTTGGGGTTTAGGGTTTTGGGTTTAGGGTTTTGGGTTTTGGGATAGGGTTTTACGGTTGCGTCGGATTTGGCATTTTGTTTTGCATGTGGCGTGTTTAGAGTAGGGCTCTTGGCGACTTTGGTAAGGGCTTCAGGCGCTAGGGTGTTGGGGTTAAGAGCGTTTCTAGTTGTTTGTCTGCTTCTCGTGGGTGTTGGATTTGTGCGTACTCCCCAGACAAGCTAAGCTCGAACCCGCTTCCAGTACTGTATCCCGAAACTGGAAACCATAAACCCTACATCCCGGAGCCCTAAACCCTATAGGCCTCAACCCGAAGCCCATGCTCCACGTCCTAGCATAAAAGCACAACTCTAGACCATGCCCCACCGCCCGACACCCGATAATCCCTAACCCCCAAGCCCCTAACCCTAGGCTAAGGCTTCGAGACCCGAGACCTTCGAGAGAGCCCGAGAATCCTACACCCCAGTCTAAGTCTAGGATTATGCGTGCTCTCGACCTTCTGATGCTGGACCATGAAGTTCACCAAGAGACTTGCTTTTCGACTTGAAGATTGGCCTCTGAGATGGCATGGCTGAAGAGCTCACTTACCTTGCTGAGTGGAAGGTAAGACTATTGCTAAAGATTGTGACTATTCAAAAGCAGAGGAGAGTATTGCTGCTGGGGCTGTCCAGGGACAGTGTCTAATTAGGGTGTTTAGGTTTCAGGCAACTTAAGGGCTTAAGGCTTATAGGGGCTCTAATTAAGAACACTGGCTTTGCAACAAGGCGGCTCACAAAGGTTCGATTTAAAGCGAAGGCCCTAAGCAGCATCGGCGCAGGAATACACTTGCCCGCCGGGCTTGTACCCTTTCGGTGTCGGCGAGATCAACATCACCTGCCACCTGGATGGGTTTGAGTGTAGCCTTTCCGGCTTTGAAGTTCATGACTGTTGGTTTCTAGTTCCTTGTGCTGGGGGATTGTGGTTCGCATGGTTCGCAGATCACGCGCCTAAGCCCACATCTCTCAGGGCTGGGAATTGATACTTCCTGACTTGACCGTGCTTCGGAACGGCACTGACTTCGCATTCATGTCACAGCTACATACGATATGAAAAACGCAAAAATGCATGCCCAGGCCCGCAACCCCGTCTAAGCTAAACCTCATGAAGTCCCAACCCCAGCCCTTGTTCGATAGAGGATCAGGAGACCTGGTTAGTCGGTGTGGAGTAAGCATTTACCACCACACCGGTTAGAGTGATTACAAAACCCGTGTGTAATCACTCGGACCTTCCCTGGCCATCATTGTATTATACATGCCTAATCCCAAACTGCCCACTTGCTCAACCCTCCAAGCCAAGCCAAGCACTAGCCCCTAAACCCCAAAACTCCACAACTCAAAAGACCCCCCAACCCCAGCACCCCACACGCTTCCCCCCACCCCAAAACCCCACCCGTATCCTACATCCCGGATCCCGGACCCTGAGACACCTTGATTCTGTTTAGGGGTAGTTAGGGCTTAGAGTTGGTTTGGATTTATACTTTGGGGATCCGAGTTATAAAGTTTCGGAATTTCGGGTTTACGATTATTGAGTACACTCACACCAGGCCCAGTCAGCATTATGCGAGATACTGTCGACACGTCTTGGACCCCCCCCCCCCCCCCCA